TTTGGTAGAGAAGATCGGACAGATTTCGCCAAGGCAAGCTGGGCAGTCGCCTATTGCTCCTATTCCAGATAACCCACTGTACCCTGTCTGAAAGGAAGTAACGCTAGAGTAGACTCGCGAAAAGTGTATAAGACACTTTTAAGATCAACTAAATAGCTAAGCCCAAGGGAAGTCGTTCGGGGAGGCCCTCCCTAATTCCACAAGGGTGAGAAGAAACACACACGATAACGAAACGTTGAATCATGTAGAACTCGTAGGGTAAATGCAAAGCAAATTAGGAAGAATATGCAGTAAGCTAAGCGAAGAGGTAAGCAAGGTTAGACTATACTACAACTACTAAACGTGTTATTTCTACTACTACACTACCATTACATACAAAAAAATAATAAAAACATCTACAATCAACAATTACTTCAAATTAAATGAACAAAATTAAGCATGCAAAATAAAAAAACTAATTTAAATAAAATAAACTGTAAAAAAACTAATTTGAATCAAATGAACTTGATAAATTCTACTACACAGTGCATGCAAGATAGAGAACTATTTTAACTATGGGGTCATCTTTGTCTTCTCCAACGTCGACCTGAAACAGATACGGTGGTAACAGATTAATAAGGAGCAATTAAAATTAATAATGTCAAGTATTCTCACCTTAATTAACTGTAGACCGTAATGTTCCAAAGTATGCAGGTGTGAAATGTAAATCAAATCAAAGAGGAATGCCAATGCCGAAAATTTCTTATTTCAGTGGAATTGTCATAAATCTTCAGTTGCTCTCACTCATCACTTGAAAATTAACTGCATAATGTTGCAAGGTGAAGACGAAAACAGCAAATCAAGAATGTAGTCCACCAAACACTGTAGATATTGTTTCAGTACCATCAACCTGAACTTTATTTCTCTCCCATTTGTCCGACGATCTGTAGAGGTGGACAAAAAAGAGTATTAGTTACACAATCAATTAAAAAATGTATTTAAATTAAGTAAAATAATGCACAAAAACGCAAGTAAAACACCTGAATTATAAAATGGCGACGAGATGTCAACTTTATTCATGTCATAGAAAAATGTTAAATGCAATACAAATAACCCTAGATGCGCGATGTCAATTTATACACTGGATAGTTAAAAGAGAACCCCATAGATATACGATAACATCGATTTATGCTGTGAACAATAGATAACTGTTAGAAGTAAAACCATAGATGCCACAGGTGGCAAATTATATGAAAACTGAGTAACTTCAAAACAATAGCTCACCTTGAGGATCACTATACGGTGCTCAAGTTTTATTCCCAAGTTCTGACAAAAGAGAAGTGCCTCTTAATAGTAGACGCTGATGAAAGGAAATAAGTGAAATAAGCCACACATCGCACCGCAATCTTCCTTTTATGCATCAGTGTAATTCGGATTGCATATATTTTCTGGAAATTGCACCTTCACGCCCAAGGGGAGAGAAAATCAAACGGACTCCACTTCTCCAGGTTTTGAATCCTTCTTATTTTCAGTCTCCTTGTTCATTTAATACGTTTAAATGGATCCTGTTGAAACAATATTATGTTAGCTTCATTTTAAAATATTTAAGAACCATAACTTTCACCAATTAAATAATAGACTATCAAAATCAATACTTTTACAAAACTACTACAATTTACAAGTGTAAAACCTTAAAGATTTCTTACCCTTTCCAAGATTAAGAGAATCAAACGTGTTCGGGTTCTGCTTCCCCGCGTTTCGTGGCCATTTGATTTACCCTCTCCCCGTACATTTATTATGATTTAATGGAAACCTCTTAAAAAAATTTAATATTAGTTATATATCCNTTACCCTGTCCAAGACCGACAAAAAGAAGCATGATTGGGGTTCTGCTTCCCCGCGTTTCGTGGCCATTTGAATTATCCTCTCCCTGTATCCTATGAATTTTTTGACCAGCTCATTAGAAGCATACTTGGAAATAAAAATATGTCTGATTGCCACAAATCTGCAAGTACTGTTTGTCCCTCGAATCCAAGGATGTAATCTCAAAGCAAGCCTATATTACAGAAAAAAAAGTCGTTAAAACCTAATCTATAGCATAACAAGGTAAAAGTTAAAAAAATTTTAAAGGAAATTTGGAATTTTAAAAGCAGAATAATAGCATTAAGAAATATTTTACATATTTTGGCTATAAAATGAAAGCAATCTTCGTGGCGTGGTCACATCGATATGAAAAATCTAGAATCATCGCCTAAACGTGTATTCAAAATTTAAAAATTCTAACAAAACCCGAACTATTCAAACTCCAATAAACTAAGAATTTATAAAATTCACATTAGATAAGTACAGGCAAGATGCCACGACACACTCGATAATAGAGCACGAAACGAACGCGCCACCCAAGTTTTTCATGACAAAATATAATTATAATTAAAATATAATTGAAATCAATCAATCACTAAACCGAAACGCATTCCACACAATAAATCAAATGAAAATCGAATAAGGATTAGGGCTAAATACTTTCAGGCGTCGTTTCCATTTATGGACGGCAAAAATGGTGGTACATCTCCTTCTCGAGGACCGAACACAATTGAATACGATTGAATGACAAGATGAAGCGACAAACGAGCCGGGAGACCTATAGATGAAAATTCTTTCTATACCTATGATAGATACATAATACATTTTATAGGTGCCTTCAGTTATACTAATGCAGTTTAATTAGTAAATTATTAGAAACTGATCCACTTAAATGACATCCTGTTGAAATAATTTATCTTTATATGACTGTCTTTAATTGTTATAAACAAAATAGCTGCGAATTAAAAAAACAAAACGTTACTTTCCTCAGGAACTTTTTAAATTCATTAAAAAATGTCCTCTTTCTAAGTATAAAAACGGCATATTTCTAACAGTTATAGTAATAAAGTTATCCATTTGTTTATAAGCAAAAAATGAAAGCACTTTTGTAACGACATTTGCAAAAATTAAAATGTCTTTTTTTCGTATTCTAATTAAACATCGTTATAGAAAAACACCTCCCCTTCCAAAAAAACCTACAAAATCTCTTTCTGTCCAAAGTTGTGCGTACTACGTTATTGCAAAAATAACTTCTCTGAGATAAACAATTTCAATTATTCAAAAACTAATGAAAGAATTAAATTGAAATTTTAACCACTTGTTAAGTATTATTAAATCTATCTTTCCACGTAATATCAAGATGTACAACAATTTGCAAAATAGTTATTAATTTTAATGAATTCTACGGGTTTTCACGATTTTTTAAACAATAAATTAACATTTTGACAACTGTAAAAGGTCATTTGTAGATTTCCCACAATATGATTACTGCGAATTGTTGCTTACATTGATATTCATTGTTTATTACTTGAAAATCGTAAAGAACCTTCTACAGAAAAAGTATAGGGGTTATTCCTATAGACTTATATTATCTAAAAAAAAAACGCATTGATTTGCTGGATGAGAGTGAGAGATAAGTTAGTTAGCGCCCAGAAGAAATGGAACATCCTGTATGATTAAAAATATTTTTTGTATATCCACCATGTGACCACTTAAATGGAGACTTTTTTTATTAAACGCATAACAGTTATGGACGAAACCGTTTTAGGTGGAATACCCTGTATACTATAGACTGCTATGTAAATATTTAAACAATATTTTAGAAGCAAAGAAGCCACCTAACCTTCCATAGCCACCACATCTCCCCTGTGCCCCCCTTCAACCTACAGTAAAATGGTCCAAATACATGTACCGAGGAAATCACTCGTAAATAAGGAAAGAAAGTGTTGCAATGAGAAATGTTATCCTTGTATATCCTCTACCACATATCTGTTGCAATTATACAAAAAAAAGATAATAGTTGCAAACTTAGCTTAAACGAATTCCACGAAGAACAACGTTTCGTAAGTAATAAAAAACTATGGAAGTTATTCAATTCGGTTAATAGTGCGCTTTGACTAAAACTTTAAATCCTTGTTAAATTGATACATACATATGCATGTCCGCTACAATTTTTTATTTTATGATTTTTAAATAAGTTTCAATGTTCCATGGAATAATTTGTAATTAGGTATGCCACAGATAACTGCGAAAATATGATTTTTTTTCCGAATCTCAATATCCTTGAAATTGCAACACTGTAGCACACTATTTCAACACCAGTAGAAAATCAATATGCACCATTATGCACTTTGAAAATTTCAAATAGTAAACAACCTAATTTCACCATAAATGCCCATGAAAATTTAGTCTTATTAATCTTCCCAAAGGCATGCATAACTTTCCGTCTGTTGATTCCATCAAAAGGCAAAAGTAGGATTTTTCATAGCAAAATTTCTAGTACTAACAAACGCCCGAACAAATATTCATACAACGTTTCAAAATTATCTAATAATGTTTAAATAAATATATAAATAAATAAGTGAACAGTTCATTATCAACTTCTTCAACATAACTACATTAATTTGTTATGTTTAGGATAGACTGTTAGAACAGGTCACTAATTTTTCTGATCGGCGAAAGACAATGCACATTTGAACATGCGTGTATAAATAATGAAAAATGATTGCCATTTTGGCATTTTTAAAAAACGTAAAGTTTATAATCATCCATTTTTCAAAATTTCTAAATGCATACTTTAACCTGCAAATTTTAGTCGATTTTCCAAAATCGAATGATACAACTCATGATTTGAGCAATTTAATAAAACAGATTTCAATTTCTCTGAAATTAATTTTAAAAATACCTACATGACTTTTCTATATTTTCAATTATTTCATTTATGCATCTTTTGGATGCTTCTGAAAATTGCTTTAAAAAATACCTTTAATAAAATTCAAAAGTTTTAAATTGAACATTCTCCGTAGGTTTATTCAACTGAATATTTGATATAAAATAAAATTTTTGATTCTAAGAAAATCAGGTGTAAGATGCATGAGTGATCGCATAAGTATTCCTTAGGGAAAACCGGAATTTTTATAAAAAATAACTTCACAATGATTTCCACTGTAAGAAATTACTTAATGTCAGCAAAATTAATTAATCGCTGTTAATTAATAATGAATTTATTAATTGTACTTATCGTTGCATTTTTAAATAAAAACATTCAGTTATTAAAATACCTATTCTCATATTTTCATTTAATTTTGTTGTTCTAATATTTGTATTGGCATTTTTATACTATCTTCGTAGAGCAACCTTAATACGCCAAGATAAAAATCCCAAGAGATAACAACACGAAGACAAGCATACCAGTATAAGAAGTAAATAAGTATAAAACAGATCGTATCATAACTGTCCCCTTACCCCGTTTGCCATCATTATGCAATAAACGACAAACAATAAACACAATGAACACGGAATTAGAAAAATATTTTAAACATTACATTCAAACAGAATCATCATTACTTTATTCATTTTTACTGGGTTAATTTTACTTTTCCGAAATCATTTGAAAATATTACGCAAAAAGTTAAAAATTGTACTATAATTTTTTTGTATATTTGAGTGAAAATAAATGGTGATTTATCAACGTAAACTTAAAAAAATATATAGGTTTTGTATAATTTACGTTTACGCTATATTGCCTTGAATACGCAAAAAATTAATAAGATTTAGAAAATTTACATTTTGTTTACCTTTCTGCAAACAAAACTATTAAAATTTGAAAATATATTTTGAAAAATATTCACGTCATAACACCTGTAATTTTTACTTACAGAAATAGCAATTTTTAAATTCAAAGGTGGGGTAGTGGACACCCTTACAACAAAATTGACTTTGTACATTTGTTCACGTTATCTACAAACAAAATTATCAAAATCTCATAAAATAATTTCGAAAACTACGCAAGTTATAACACCTGTAATTTTTACGATCAAAAATTACAATATTATAGGTTCAACATTACAAAACTTTAGGTTCAGTAGGAAGTTGTCACAAATTATCATATCTGACAATCGAATTTTGAAAAATATGCAAGCTATAACATCAGTGGCATTTAGTATCAAAAATGACGAAGTTTTTAATTCACCGGACCCTTATAAAAACCTGACTTCATACTTTTTGTCCCTGTTTGACAAATGAATTTCTAAAAAAATCTATCAACATACTTTGTCTCTGATAAATATGGCACAGTTTTAGGTGCAAAAAAGAGGCACAAAAATTAGATATTACACATTTTGTCCCCGCCCTCTTCAAGAAAAAAAACTATAAATCTGATAAACGAATTTTGAAAGAAATGCAATATGCAACACCTGAAACTTTTACGTTCAGAAATTGCAGAATTTCAGGTTCAAAATAAGGGTACAGAGTACAGTTACATAAGATCTGACTTCACATATTGTCGACAATCGGATTATCGAAAATAACATTAAGACAGCTAAT